AAAGCAAACTATAAAAGACTAGGAGACCAGGTATGGTGGTACACACCTGTAGTCCTAGCTACTCAACAGGACAAAGGCTTTAGCAGGAGAAAGCTTGAATCCAAGAGTTTTGGGCCTCCCTGGGCAACAAATTAGATCCTATCTCAAAAACCAAATGAACAGAAAGAAAGGAAGGAAGAAAGGAAGGAAGGAAGGAAGGAAGGAAGGAAGGAAGGAAGGAAAGGAAGGAGGGAGGGGAGGGAAGGAGGGAGGGGAGGGAGGGAGGGAGTGAAGGGAAACAAAAAAGGCAAGGAAATAAAATACCTAAAGCTACTTAGGGCAGGAGGAAAGAAAAGAGAGGGAGTATTTGATTGCCCAAGAGCTGTGAAATCCTATCATTTGATTTTGCAACAGGCCAACCCCAAATGCTTTATTTAACCTTCCTATTTTTAAATTTAAAAGACTTAAACACGAGCGTGGCATGAGCAGTTTCATTCCACTATTGTCTACTTCCGCGTGCATGCAAATTTTTCTCTAAGGGAAGAAAGGTTTTGTTTAATGCAGGATTTCCCACCACCATTGGAAGTACTTTGAAACACTTCTGGGCATTGCAGGCCGCGCACCTGTGGGGAAACTGAGTCCCTCTTGCGCAGGGCTTTTTCTTCCTTGCCCAAAATAGTGGGAACAGTAGGGAAGCCTGTGATGTCCACAGGGTTTGGGGGCTCCCTCAGCTGTGGGGCCCCTGTGTCATGTCTACCTGACCACAGGAGACCATGCCTCTTCTCTGAGAAGGGGGAAGGGGGCTGCGGGGAGAAGAGGAGGGGAGGGGAGAGGAAAGGGAAGGGAGAGGGCAAGGGAGAACAGGAGAGGACAGGAAGAAATCAGGTGCTGGTGGCTTACACCTGTAATCTTAGCTACTCAGGAGGCCGAGATCGGAGGATAGAAGTTCGAAGCCAGCCCAGGTTGGAAAGTCAGCGACGCTGATCTTCAGTTAACCACCAAAATGGCAGAAATAGAGCTATGGTTCAAGTAGTAGAGGGCCAGCCTTCAGTGAAAACAAAAACCCAGGCCCTGAGTTCAAGACGGAGTACACACACACACACACACACACACACACACACACACACACACACACGCACACACACACACACGCACGCACGCACGCACGCACAACAGGGACAGAGAAGGGGCTGCAGCTGTCCCCTGGCTCATGGTGTCCCCTGTGATTGAGTGATTGGCAGCACACAGTGCCACACGAGGCCTGAGCCTCAGGGGCCTGCAGCTTCATTGCACGGGGTGTAGGGACTGTGAGCTCTGTGGACCCCATGACCACAGCGCGGCTTGCTGTCAGAGCCCCGCCCTTGGGCTTGGCTGCGGCTGCTCCGTGGTGGTGGAGGACCATGGAGTCCCAGGAAGGCCAGTCTGCCTCTAGGATTCTCCCATTCCCCGCTCATCACTGGATGGCGCAAGTCCAGCACTGCAGGATGCGGGGCTGCCCACGTGTGCAAGGGTCCTGTGCTTCCCAGAGGAGGGAAGACACCAAGGGACCAATGACCTGAACAGTAGGCACTGTGGCTTGCTGGAGAAGCAGATGGCGGCTGTGTGAGATCAGATGCCAGGGGGAGTGGAGAGGGAGGAAGCCGGGCCAGGTAGGAGCAGAGTCACCTCCACTCCAGCTCTTGGAGGTCTCCACTCACCAGGCCTGGTCCTCGCTCCGCTACAAATGTCTGATGAATTAAACAAAATTTCCGGTTAAGTAGGGTAGGAAACATGTAGATTAGCCATGTCTAGTAGTGTTGTAGAAGCAGTAGCTCTCCATTGATAATGCTGTGTGACCCAGGCAAAGTCCTTAACTTCTCTGTGCCTCAGCTTGTTTCCCAAATGGAGCTGTGGTGGTGCCTATCAGCAGGCCTCAGGGAGTCTACTGACAAGTAGAGGTGGGTATCAGGTGATGCTGATACCCCCTCTTTACATTCCCAGGGGAGAGGGGTCTCTCACATGGACATTTGCAGGATGTATTATTTGTTCCTTTACTAATGAACTTTCCCATCACCTTATGGTTGCTTTTTGTCTGAATTCTGCCAGATACAAGAACCAAGGTCAGATGAGCTGTCCTAAGCTTTCTGGTAGCATATTTGGTGTGTTGGGGAGTGTGTGTGTATGTGTGTGTGTGTGTGTTTCTGACTTAGACTCCTCCAAAGGTTAGGTCCTCTGTTTTAGAAATGTTTTCATTACTTGGCATATGTTAAAGTACTTTTTTTTTTCCGGTTGGTCCTGTGGCTTGAACTCAGGGCCTGGGTGCTATTTGTGAACTCTTGTGCTCAAGGCTAGTGCTCTACCACTTGGAGCCACAGCTCCATTTGCAGTATTCTGGTAGTTCATTGGGGATACAAGTCTCATGGGCTTTCCTGCCCAGGCTGGCTCTGAATCATAATCCTCAGATCTCAGCTTCCTAAGTAGCTAGGATTACAAGTGTGAGCCACTGGTACCAAGTTTGAAAGACTTTTTTTTTTTTTAAACTAAAAATGTCAACAAAAACTCAACAGTCACTGCCTTTCCTTTTGTCAGTGATCTTCTAGTCCTTATTTATAATCTACATGGTTTTAAAAATAACTTTATCCTTTGTGTAGTAATGACATATGCTCATAAAAAAAGCTCCAAGCCATAAACGAATAAAAGGAGAAAGCAAAATGGCATGTATTTAAGAACACGGAGGGGTGTTTAGGAACAGGTCGGGTATTTAGGATCATGGTGGGGTATTTAAGATGGTAGTGGGAACTTGTCACCCTTGGGTGGCTCTTGTTCTGTGACTCACTGCATGGGCTGTCCCTAGGTTTGCTAATTGTCAAAGAAGTGTGAGCTGGAAGTTTGTGTTGGGCGATATTAAACTGCCTCATATGTCAAAAACTGATCAAGGCCAGGCACCAGCGGCTCATGGCTGTCAACCTCGCTACTCAGGAAGCTGAGATCTGTGAGACTTATCTCCCATGAGCCATCAAAAAGCTGCAAGTGAAGTTGTGGCTCAAGTGGTAGAGCACCAGCCTTGAGTGTAAAAGCTGAGGGACAGCACCTAGGCCCAGTTCAAGCCCCACTACCAGCACACGTATAAGATTTTTTAAAATCAATCGTGCTTTTTTCTTTCCTCCTAGAATAAAGGCCAAGATGCTTTGTACAAGACATTGGAAACAAATTTCTGTTGATGTTTTCTTTCTGTTTATCAGAGACTCAAGACTTATTTCAGTAAAGCAAGAGCTGTGGACATGCGTTGTCTGACTCAGATGCCTGCCAGTCCAATCAGGTGCATCCTGCTCAGCACACAAGATACGTTCCGGAACTTTGGGGGAGGGGAATAGGAGGAATCTCATTATTCAGATTTCCGTGTGTGTGGGTGGGTGGGTGAGCCTAAAAGTTAAGAAAGGTGAAAGATCTGCATTGCTACCTCATTTCAAACAGACAAGCAGCTTTCTGTGGTCGCTGATGTCTCTGCGAGATGGTGGGAGGCAGGGGAGGGGGGAATGCCAGAAGTCTCAGAACTGAGAACAGAAGCCAGGACCTGACTAGTAGTGGACTGGAAACACGTTTGCCCTCGTGTCTTGGAAGGATATCTTGAAAGGGAAATGGAGTGATAACAGCATCTGGCCTGGCTCTTTGCCCCACTATGACCCAACAGATAAAAGATTCCCAGTTCAATAAGAGCAAGGCAGATCATTTTTCTTAGCCAGAAAATAAATCTAGGATTTGAGAGTGAGTCTTAGTGGTAGACCAGGAGACCCTGGGTTGATCTCTAGCACTGAAGGAAAAAAAAGTGAAACTTTCCAGAAAGTTCCCTCACTTTAAAGTAAACGCTAGCAGATTTTTGCAAGATTATAGCACAAGTTCTCACTACAATCAATCCAGCAGGTAGCATGAGTGTGGTGGTTCATACCTGTAAGCCCAGCTACTCAGGAGGCAGAGGTAGGAGAATCAGGGGATTAAGCCAGCCAGGACAAAGTTAGCATAAGACTCTATTAAAAAAAAAAACTAAACAAAACTAAAATCTATTAAAACTCTTCTGTACAATTGCTTAATGATAATTTAAAAATTAATTAAAACATACTAACAGCAAAAGAATTAAGGTGTACGATTCAAGTTGTAGTGTGCCTGTCTAGAAAGTGCTAGACCCTGAACTGAATCCCCAATTCTAAAGGGGAGGGAGAAAAAGCCCTATATTCTTTTTTGAAATGCCATTCAACTGTCAGTTTATTTTCAGCGTGCTGGTTCAGCTGGTGTTCTACTACTTGAGCTACATTTCCATCCCTGCTTTTTGCGGGTTATCGTGAAGATAGAGTCTCAAAGACTTTTCTGTCCAGGCTAGCTTTGAACCAGGATCCTCCAGATCTCAGCCTCTTTAACAGCTAAGATTCCAGGCATGAGCCACTGGCACTCAGCTTAAGTGGCAAGAAATTTTTTTTTTTCTTTTTTTGGGTTCGGTCGTGGGCCTGAACTCTGGGCCTGGGCACTGTCCCTCAGCTCTTCAGCTCAAGGCTAGCGCTCTACCACTTGAGCCACAGCGCCACTTCTGGCTTTTTTTCTTTTTGCTTATGTGGTGCTGGGGAATCGAACCCAGGGCCTCATGCATGCAAGGCAAGCACTCTACCACTGAGCCACCTTCCCAGCCCTAAGTGGCAAGAAATTTTAAACAAACAAGTTAAAGAGAGAAGACACCCATCCATTGGTATAGCCTCCCATTGGGGACCTGGGGTTCTTGAATGTCCCCAAGCCAGGCTTCATGCCAGCTGTGAGCAGTGTCACCCAAGTGGTAAGTTGTAAGTGAACGTTCTGGGGGACCGCAGGGCTTTTGCACCGCTGATGCCTGTTGAAATTTGGTTAGGTTTGGAGTGAGTTGAAGGGCCACTGAAACCCCATCATTGAGGTACCTTTAGATCTGGAGGGGCCCACACTTAGTTTAAGGGGTGCTGGGGAGTAACTATACAATCCTAAGAGCCACCAATATTTTCACAGGTCTGCCACGCCATCAGTAGGTGCCATCCATACGCAAGACTCGTGGGCGGTGGCCAAGGGCATTGAGGAGAAGTTTTCATGGGGCCTGGGGCTCGCGGTCCTTGGCATTTTCATCATCGTCGTATTTGTCTACATAACTGTTGAAAACAGGCCAGTCTTGGCTTAGGGGACCCAAGGGGCAAAGCCATGTGCTTGTGTTTGAGCGACAGCCCCAGGGAGCCCCCCAGAGACTGGAAGAAACCACAGGCTTACCCTGGAGCAGCCAGGCCCAGCCTTAGCCAGGCAGCCTTCCCTCGCCTCTCGCTGAGCTCCCACGGGTGCACTCCACCAGAGAGAAGAGCAACGAAGAGAGCCGGACAGCTGTGTGAACATGTGGTTGTTAGGGACCCCCCTGAGTCATACAAACCATCATTACAGGCACTACCACACAAGAGAAGTGTTTGTTTTTGTTTTTGAGACAGAGTCTTGCTGTATACCCAGGCTGGCCTTGAACTTGTGATCCTCCCATCTCAGAATCCAGAGTGCTGGCACACACCTGCCTAGGAATAGATTTCTAAAGATCTAGTCTGCCTGTCTGTCTTACTTCCTTCCCTCCCTTCCTCCCTCCCTTCCTCCTGCCCTCCCTCCCTCCTCACTTCCTTCCTTCCTTCCTTCCTCCACCCCCCCTCTTAATTTCTTTCTCTTTAGTTCACTTTTTTTTTTCCTTTGGTAGGTCATGGGGCTTGAACTCAGGGCCTGGACTCCTCTGTCCCTGAGCTTTTTTGGCTTAAAGCTATCACTCTACCACTTTGGGCCACAGCGCCACTTCCAGTCTTCTGGTGGTCCATTGGAGATAAAGTCTCGTGGACTTTCCTGTTCAAGGTTGATTTGAAACACAATCCTCAGATCTCAGCCTCCTGGCTGAGCTACTGGTGCCCAGTCTGCCTGGGAGGAGGGCAGGGCTGGTAGGTCGCTCAGCAGTAGACTGCTTATCCAGCATGCACAGGCTCTGGGTGCCATTCCAGCATTGGGGGTGCGTGTTGGGGAGGGAGGAGACGAAGAGGAATGTGTCTAATTTAGCAAACACAAAGAAATGTTCAACATCATAGAATAAAATTGTATATTTATCTCTGACAGTGAGTCTCTAAAGCATTGAGGCTTGCTCAAGGAGAGCTGCAAAGCCAGCTGATCTTGGTTGCCTGTGTGGCCTTAGGTGAATTACTTGGCCTCTCTGAGCTTGGGTTGCAACTTCTGAAAATCGACATAAAATAGATCACTTAGGGAGACAAAGAATTTGAAGAATCTGGGCATGCTGGTATATGCCTACAACCCCAGCAGGACTGTGAGTTCTAGGCTAGCCTGGGCTACATAGCAAGAAGAGAGAGGCCAGTCTGGGCTACATAGCTTGTAATCCCAGCTGCTCAGGAGGTTGAGATCTGAGGATCTGGCAGAAAAATCTGGGACACTCATCTCCAATTAACCACCAAAAAGCCAGGAATAGAGCTCAAGTAGTAGATCACCAGTCTTTAAAAAAAAAAAAAAAAGTAGAATGTCAGAGTCCAGGCCCTGAGTTCAAGCCCCAGTACTGGCAGAGTAAAGTGGAGTCAGAAACACCATGGTTCATGAGACAGGAAAGCACTTTGGTCTTAAGCTACTGCTAGGTGACAGTGGCTCAAGTCCGTAATCCTAGCTGCTTAAGAGACTGAGATATGAGGATCATCAGAGTTCGAAAAAGGAAAGTCTGTGAGACTCATCTCTAATTAACCACCAAAAAGCTGGAAGCAGAGCTATGGCTCAAGTGGCAGAGTGCTAGCCTTGAACAAAAATGCTCAGGGATAGGGCTCAGGCCCTGAGTTTTCTCACACACACACACTTCATAGGCATTCCTAAGACTCTAGCCAGAGGACCAGTGGGAAGACCTGGGGAATAGCTGGGGGAGAGGGGTGTGGGGGGGTTGTCTTAAAGGAACATACTCAAGGCAAATTCAACAATCCACTGAGTAATCCCTGTGCAGTCACAATAAAATGCCAAAATCGCTCTCCAGGAATGCCCCATCCTGTTGTGGGAGGGGATGGCGAAGCCAGCAGACATGGGGTGTGACATCCTTTTGATGGTGGTCCATGCTGCCCTGGGGACAGCCACCTAGGGTGCTGGGAGCAGGCCAGGGAATGGTCAGAGCTGAGCCTGACGGATGAGTGGGGTTGTGTCCAAAGCAGGAAGAGGAAGTGGCCTGGGCTAAAGGAAGTTTGCCAGGCAGAGAACAAGCTTGGTATCTGCAAGCCTGATCCTGGGAAGGGGAGATCGGGAGGGAAGAGAGGGAAAGAGGAGAGAGAGAGAAAGAGAGGGAGGGAGGGGGAAGAAGGGAGGAAGGAGGGAGAGGAGAGGAGGACTAAGGGGTGGGGCTGGAAAAGCAGGCAGGGCTGACCTCTTGGAAGGTCTCCAGAGCCGTGTGATGGAAGCAGCTCCCTAGGTTAGGCAAAGGTTTGCACTTGGATTTTGCCTGTTCATCCCTGTGAAGGGAACTGTCCTTAAGATGGATATGCGGTTTGAAAAGTATTCCCATTTCTCCTCCCTGGCAGTCCGCACACTTTTCCCAGGCCCTGACTTCCAGGACACCTTTGGCACTTATGACTGTCACTATTTACCTTGGGGTTAGACCTGCCACCTGGGAAGGTGTGATCGCCATCTTCATCCCCCGCAGGGCTATGGAAGCACTGGCTAAGAAGCAGAGCGCAGCTAATTGCTTGTTTCTGAGGTACACTGAATCCCACCGCCCTGCTCTCCATGTGGGACACATGGCCTATTATTCAACTGCTGGCGTGCTGTTTACATCTCTACGCAGCCAGTGTGCAGACTGGCAGATGGAAGGCATTCTTCAAAGCTCTACTTTTGTTTTTCAACATTCACAGAAACACTGTGCTACCACCTCTTAAAAATAATTGGTTAAGAACCAAGTTATTTTCTTGACCACAGTCATAAATAGAGAAGTGCTAGACCACATTGTTCATATCTATAGCAGTTGGACAATCATTCTGACATGCAAGTAAAAGGGTTATTGATGTTTGGGGTGCTCTCTTTTCTTGCTTTCCCCTCCCCTTCTTCCATCACCATCTCCCCCATCTGCCCTGTAAGGAAAATTCTTGTCCAGGGGCTGGGGTTGTGGCTCAGTGGTAGAGTGCTCACCTAGCATGTATGAAAGCAGGAGGCTGTAGGCTCAATCCCCAGCACTGTATAAAAATCAAAACCAGCCTGACATCAGCAGCTCACACCTGTAATCCTAGCTAGTCAGGAGGCTGAGATCTGAGGATCATGATTCAAATCCAGCCCGGGAAAGGTTTATTTCCAATAAGCCACCAGGAAACCTAAAGTGGCGCTGTGGCTCAAGTGGTAGAGTGCTCACCTTGAGCTGAAGAGCCTAGGGACAGAGGAGCACCCAGACCTGAGCCCAAGCCCTAGGACTGACAAAAAAAAAAAGGGGAGGGGGAGGGTGGGAGAGGATTCCCGCAAACTCCTGTTTAGCTTGCTCCAAAGAGCACTGACTTTGAAGGAGCTGGTTCAAGAAGCAATGGGCCTGGGACAAGGGCTGCTGGTCCCTGGCACAGATCTCAGTCCCTTTTGTCTACATCATGTTGGCAAAGCAGGTGAGAGGGCGGGAGGCAACATGGGCTGGAGGGGGGGATGTTGGTGGAGGGCAGACAGCTGGGTTCTGAGATCCCCAGCCCGGCTCTGCAGGATGCCTGGTTTCCCCTTGTGGGCGTCCCCTAACACAGCCCTGCCTAATGAACCCCTCTCTGCCAAGCCGGCCGCCAGGAGGCTATTCTAGGTACGCTGGCTGCCGCCTCACAAATCACATCTCTCATCATTTCCTGGCAACCAGGAATGGAGTGACAGCTCCATTCCTAGAGAGCCATTGTTAAAAATCGCTTTGGAGTTTAAGGATTAGCGGGAAATATTTGGAGGTAACAGGAGTTTGCATATATATGTATGTGTGTCTATGCATACATACATATTTATGATGTTTTTGAGGGTTTTTTTGTTTCGGATTTTATTATTATTATTGGCCCCTTAGAGATGGCTTCCTTTTGGACATTGCTGATTTCATCGCCAGGGTAGTTTTATCACTTTCCAAGACTGATATTGACCGGCACTATTAGCCAGTATTGGCTATCAACAGGCCGAGATCCAGAGGATCATAGTTTGAGGCCAGCCAGGTTAGAAAAGTCCAGGAGTCCATCTCCAGCATACTCAACACAAAGCTGGACTGAGTGTGTGGTGCAAGTGAGAAAGCTCCCCCTCCCCCCCCCTCCCCGGAGTAAGCAATCTAAAGAGGACCAGGTCCTGAGTCAAGAAACAAAGCAGAGTGGCACTTTGTACCCCTCAGATGCGTGGGGGACACAGGAGGGGAAGAGCAAGCACCTTTCCAGGATTTGAGAAGAGCAGTGTGAGGGAGTCAGGAGACCCGGGGCTAATCCTCACAGCTCTCTTGGGGTACACCACTCCAGCCTCCCCCCCCCCCCCGCCTCAGTTTCCTCATCTGTTCCATGAGTGTGTGAAGCCCTGGAGACACTATGCTGATAAGAATGATGGGGACCCAGCAGGGTCAAAGGCCAAGATGTAGAAAGGAGAAGGGTAGCGGCCAGGGATTACGAGGAGAGGGAGGATGGGGATCCAGTGTTAAATGGGACAGCTGTGCTTCGTACTGCTGAGCCCCGTGCCTAAACTCTGTGAAAACGATAAAGTTCATGTTGTATAGACTTCATCAAGCCAGTGCCAGTGGCTCATGCCTGTAATCTCAGAGAAGGCTGAGATCGAGGATCACAGTTCAAAGCTACGCTGAGCAGAAAAGTCTGTGAGACTCATATCTCCAATTAAGCATCAAAACCCAGAAGTAGATCTGTGACTCAAGTGGTCCCATGCTAGCCTCCAGCAAAAAAACTCAGGGACAATGCCCAGACCCTGTTCAAGCCCCAGGACATGGACACAGATAGACTTTATCATAATATTAAGGAGTCAAACAACAACCGAGTACCTCTCACATTTGCTGATATCATGGAGGGCCTCAAACAGAAGTACCCATGGAGGCCTGGCAGGTGGGGCAGATGAAGGAGCATGCCCAGGACCCTGCTATGTGCAGGATTCCAGGAGGTAGCAGGTCCCTGTCTTGCCAAGACTTCCCTGTGGAAATGT